AAGCTACACAGAGAAACCCTGTCTCGAAAAACCAAAAAAAAAAAAAAAAAAAAAAAAAAAAAATTAAGAAGAATTTGTCATCGTTCAATTCAGGGCAGAACAGGGATTCAAACTCATGTGATTACATCAGAATGTTTTCAAACCAATTATTTCTGCTTCTCTATCTACCAAAAGCATTATGCATCTGGAGTATAGAAAATAGATTTAGTGACATCTGAAATTAATAAAATACTGAGAAATAGTACTTTTTCAAAGCTGAGAATACTCTTTAGTCATGAAATGTTAGGCAAGACATACTTATTTGTATCAAAAAAAGAAAAAAAAAACATAAAGTGCCAAAATAAAAAGGATCCTATCACATGAACCAGACTCTACAAGCTCGGCAACTGTGGGCCAAGCTATCCTCTGGCCTGTTCTTAGGAGCTAAAAATGGTCTTTGCATTTGCCAAAGAACCATAAAAAAGACCGGGCAGCTACACAGCCTCAAAATAGTTTTGTTCCTTTATTTAAAAGATGTACCAACCCTTGATCTAAACTTTTTTTTGTTTTTCCAGACAGGGTTTCTCTGTGTAGCTCTGCGCCTTTCCTGGAACTCGCTCTGTAGACCAGGCCGGCCTCGAACTCACAGAAATCCACCTGCCTCTGCCTCCCAAGTGCTGGGATTAAAAGCTTGCGCCACCACCGGCCAGCGATCTAAACTTTTGATGGAGGGGGGATTCAAATCCTTCCCCTTCCCCACCTGTTTAAACAGTTGAATATGGTCACTAACTTACTAAGTCAGTCATTCTGTTTCTGTAAGGATGGATGGTAGACTCCCTTAGCTCCAAGCCAGAAAACCTCTAGCACCAAAAAAGGGAGGGAGGGGCAAAAACAAATAGGTCTACCTCACCAGGAGGTGCCAACAGGTTCTTCCAGAGGTAAGTTCTGCTCTTAACTCTATCTTCTGTGGTGGCTACTAGAAAAAGCAGCCAGCTTAACCTTCACACCTTGCTACACACAATGGAAATGGGAAGGAGACTGAACAGCTGACAAGAACTAAACACAATGCCTTGGTGAACAGAACTCCCAACTAGAAAAATGAGCCTTTTTCAAAGTACCTAAGTTAGTCCTCAGAAGATTTTAGGCAGGAAGATCTCAGGTTTAAGGCCAGCCTGAGAGCCACACAGAAGGATCCTACCTCAGAAAAGCTAAAAAGTGGCTGGTTAGCAGGGTAGGTGAAGAGGCAAGTGAAAACAACCATCTTGCATTGCTCATTTGCTTCTACACTTCTTGAGACAGCCTCACTCTACAGTCCAGGCTAGCCTGGACTCACTATGAAGCCCATGCTTCAAACTTAAAAAATCCCCTGACCTCGGATTCTTAGTAGCTGGAATTACAGGTATGTGCCACTACAACCAGCTCCTTCTACATTTAACAGTGACTCCCTTTATCTGATTGAGCAAGACAGTAACTTTCTAGCTCCACAACATCAAGCAAGGTGACATTTTTTTAAAGGTAAGTTAAAAGTAGAAAAATGCTAAAGTTTAGACATTTCCCAGAAGAGCTAAACCAGAAGTCAAAACAGGAAATTAGAAGTCAACTGAATACAGGAGTCACGGGTACTGGGTGACTGACTGCATGAAGTTATTTGACCTGACATTCGCTGTCCAGTATCTACTAACAGTGCCAGCCTGCTTATTCTTTCTTATTCTAACCTTCTACTACACAACCCAAGGTTTCATTTGCCCAGAAGCCCTGGACGCTTATCAAACATTAGTGTGAAACATGCCATGTCATGAAGCTCCTTTACTATATCCAGGATGACTCAGCAGCTGCTGCAAAACATCCAGTTGACAAGCTCTGCTAGTAGATGACAATGAGCCACTAAGTTCCAGGTAAGACTCGTTACTTTAAGACAGAAACAGAAACTCACATGTATTCTTTCATGTAACCCTGAATACTTTTTGGTCATTTCTGTCACTATTAAATCTGCTAATCAATAAATAGTTATCTTTAATGCCAATTCAATGTTAAGATATATTTCCATTTTAAATTAATAGCTGGGGCTACACACAGAGAAATTCTGTCTCGGGGAAAAATTAAATAGCTGAGGCAAGAAGCTAGTATTTTAGATGACTTAACTGCTAAGCTCTAAAACGGTATACAGCCTGAAATCGGGACCAGTTCTAAAATAACTTGGGTTTTAGTTGTTAGGCATCTTCTCTCCCAGATTAGATTTTTACCTGAGTACATTTTATAATAACTGTCACTTAAGACTATATCAGCTCCTTTCTAAACTCTATCAAAGCCATCCATTTATTTCTCTGCTCAAATTTTTTTCATTTTCCTTTAACAAGAATTTGAAGGTGATTCGTTATTCTTAGAAGAAAAGCATGCCTGTCTTAACTTCTACTGTACAATATTAGGTTAAGTAAAATGGCCAGGCTTGTGACCTGATTTGAATCTTAAAATCTGCTTGAAAATACTGCTCCTCAGCATTCTGTACATATCTAGGGAAAATGGTAATAGTGCCAACCCTCCCAACCAATGGCAAATAATTACTGATTACATAACCACAGCATTTACTATTCAAAACTTTTCCTCATATCTTACTTTTTGAACTGTCGAAAGTGATACAATTTAACATTACCAAACAAAACGCTAAGTATTCAATTTCAGCACTATCCAGAATAAAACAAAGTCTACATTTAACAGTATAAAACAAGTTATTAGGACTTCTTCAATAAACTTAAAACGTACACTTTCTACTTCAGTTCACCAAGGAACTTTACGTGGCTTTGTTACAATGAGTTTTTATCATCTTCTTAATTCTCACAAGCAATTTTTAAACAATGAAATTCTTCTCAGAACCAAACATCTCATTTACAACAGGAATCAACTTTTTAAAATTATAAAGATCCACGAAGGCAAACGGTGGCTTAAACTACGTAAGACCACCCACACTCCCGGTGTGCCCAAAGTACCTCAAACTTCTAGAAAACGCCCAGTATTAAAAATATTTGGTGTATTAGATCAGAGCTGGAGAACTGTTTTAAGTGTAGAGAATGGCTGATTCTGGCCTTCAAAATACAGAGCGGGGAGGAGAGAAGAGAGGAAGGAAGAAATCACGCAGCAGAGACCAGACGTAAGAGTGGAGAGGGACTTTCAAAATGCCTCAGTGCCACAGTAACTATAACTCGGTTAAGAGGGAAAGAGAACGGGAAGCTAAGACAGTGTTCAGATCTGGAAAAGGCCAGCCAGGGAGATGAGAGGACCGGACAACAGTAATGTCTTAATGCAGCTTAAACTGAATTATTCCATGATCCGGGGAACAGCGCCCCCTCCCCAAGTCCCTCTGGGCCGCAGCGGCAACTACCCTCCCCACGCACCCTGAACCTGGGAACACCAGAAAGAAAAATAAATAAATAAATAAATAAAGCCTGCTAACGATGGGCCTGTTAGCACATCTCCTTCCCTTGTTCCCTCGCGAGGTCGTGAGCAATCCTACCCAAACCTCAAAACCCGCCAAAAAAGAAACCCGAGTATCCGAAGCCTGGATTTTCTTTTCCCGCCCTGTGCCCGCAGGGGAAAGCCCCAGGGCGGGAGGGCTGGGAGAGGCCGCCCGCACCCCACGTGTGCGCCGCCAGGCCCGGCCCGGCCCGGCCCGGCCCGGCTCTGCCCACTTCCCGTCGCCACCCCGGCCCTGCCTCAGGCCCTCCGGTCCTCTCCACGTGGGGAGCCGGGGCCTCGCACCGCCCCCCACTGCGGCCGCCCAGCCTCCTCCGCGGCGTGCGGGTCCCGTACCTGGTGCTGGGGTCGCCCCTGCTGGTAAGGCTTCACCGGCCCCTGGTGGCAACGACGCGTCCGGATCTTGCCGCCGCCGCCCCCTCCGATGCCTCCGGCTCCGGAGGCCATGGTGGGGCCTGGCCGGCCTCCCGCTCCCGGGCGGGAGAGGCAGAGGCGGCGGCCTGAGGGCCTCCCCCGCCCGGTCCTAGGCGACACACAGACACAGCGAGAACCGCGAGGGAGCGAGCGGGAACTGAGAGTGCGCGCACGCCGGCGGCGAGGAAGGCGGTGGCGGCGGCGGCTGAG